GCATCGCAGCCATCCATTTTTCTTTATCCTTATGAGATATGGCTTCTTGAAAACTCTCTGGTTCTCCATCTTCTGTCAATAGAAGGTATTCAGATGATGAGTATCTTTTTTATGGTATATGACCCCGTTCAGATCTACGAGTGGGTAGAACCATCTGAGAAGAACTTCCAACATTGGTGTCTAGAAAAATGGGTTGTGGCTCCCCTTGCTCTGGCAAGATGGGTTGTTGCTCCCCTTGCTCTGCACTCTCCTCCGTCTCCTCGTCTTCTTCCGGTACATCATCTTCATTGTTTCTCTAGAACAATTCTGGTGCTTCATCTGAAACTTGAGCACCCACATTTGACTTCTGAGACATCTTGGGCTTTTCGATATCTTCTATTATCAAATTTTCTTGGAACACAACGTCCCTACTTCTGATTACCTTTTTCTCCTTTGGATCCCAAAATCTGTATCCAAACTCTTCATCTCCATAACCAATGAAAATGCATGGGATTGACCTCGCATCGAGCTTCTTCCTGAGCTCTTTGGATACATGTGCATATGCTACACAACCAAATACTCTAAGATGTGAGTATGTCGGATCCTTACCAGTCCATATTCTCTCTGGAACTTCAAAATTTAATGGAACTGAAGGTGATCGGTTGATTAGATAACATGCGGTCTTGACAGCTTCTCCCCAAAATGGCTTTGGTAGTTTAGCCATGTTCATCATGCTTCGGACACGCTCCATGATAGTTCGATTCATTCTTTCAGCAACACCGTTGTGTTGAGGGGTACGTGGTACTGACTTCTCATGTCGAATGTCATATGTCCTGCAATATGCATCGAACTCCTTGGAAGTATACTCGCCTCCATTATCAGATCAGAGACATTTCAGTTTCTTTCCTGTTTCACGTTCCACCATGACGTGAAATTCCTTGAAGTACTCAAACACATGGTCCTTGGTATTCAGGAAATATACCCACACCTTTCGAGAAGCATCATCAATGAAAGTCAGAAAATATCTGCTTCCACCCAGTGATTCAACCTCCATGGGACCGCAAACATCAGAGTGTACCAAGCTTAACAACTCTGATCTCTTTGTTGAATTTGTATTGAATGAGACTCTATGCTGCTTGCCGAACAGGCAATGACTGCAAGAACCCATCGCCACACTCTTATCAACCTTTGATAAGATCCTTCTTCATCAGGGTAGTCAGTCCTTTCTCACTCATATGGCCGAGTCTCTTGTGCCATAGATCCTGGGAAGCCTCCTCTGCAACATTGAGACTTTCTGTACTAATCTTCAAATGTGTTTTGTACAGCGTCCCACAAATATGTCCTCGGGCAATTTTCAGAACACCCTTTGACAACTTCCATGTGCATGCGCCAAAGTGATTTTCATATCCTTCTTTGTCCCACCACTGACAAAAGATTCAGCCTAATATCTGGCACATGCCTGACATCCTTCAACAAGATTGTACTCTCGGTTCTTGTCGTTGCCTGGATATCACCAATTCCGGCAATTTGAGAGGAGCTAGAATTTCCCATCTTCATCGATCCAAAGTCTCCAGCTTGGTATGTGGTGAAGTATTTCCTGTTGGGAGTAACGTGATAGGATGCTGCAGTATCTACCACCCATTCCATGTCTTCTCTTGAGACATGAAGGCACGTCTCACCATGGTTAGAGCAATATGCTACATCACCTGAGACAGTGATAAGAGTTTCACCACTCTTGCCCTTGTTCTTCTGCTGAGAACTATTATTCGGCTGAGAATTGCTCTTGCCCTGCTCCTCGAGCCATTTATAGCAATTCTTCTTCATATGACCTTCTAGATCACAATGATAGCACACATGTGATCTTCGATCATCTGATTGCCTCCCCTTGCTTCTACCCCTGCTCTTCCCTCTACCGCTTCTTTGTTGCTTGCCTTGTGGTCTTCCTCGATTCTCCATCACAAGGGCATGGGTCTTATCTGTGCCCATGTCTTTCCTTCTTGCCTCTTCATTGAATAAGGCATCCTTGACAACAGACATAGAAAGTTTGCCGTTTGAGGCTGAGTTGCTGAGAGTAACAACGAGTGTTTCCCAACTATCAGGAAGGGAACTAAGAAGTAGCAGAGATTGCATTTCATCTCCAAGCGGCACCTCCACACAAGATAGCTGATTTACCAGGCTCTGGAACTCACTGGTATGCTCGGCAACAGAAGTTTCATTTTTCAACTTCATATTGACTAAGCGCCTCATCAATAAGGCCTTATTCCGAGCAGTCTTAGCTTGGTACATGTCCTTAAGCTTCCTCCAGAGGACATATGCGTCGGTTTCTTGTGCAACATGATAGAAGACACTATGATCAATCCATTATCGGATTTGACCAATAGTTTTTCTGTTGATTTTCTTCAATTCTAACGCCTTGGACGGATCAGGGTTAATACCCTTCAGCTCTATTGGGTCAAAGAGCTCTTTACAGCTGAGGAAATCTTCCATCCAAGGTTTCCACAGCGTATAGTTGGTAGCCGTGAGCATAATCATAGCTCCAGAAGATGAAGT